CACAGCAAAGGTTATTTATAAGTTGTAACATCAGAAGACTGAACTGTATCGCAACCAAGTTATATGTAACGTTCTCCAAGTATTTTCCAAGTTTATCACCAAACTGCAACCATACGCTTTGTTTCAAAATAAACTTGTTCTCTTTGATTGTAAAACTGCCTCATCTCCATTAATTCTGCGTTTAGTGTGCCCAATCTCCCAAAATTACCTCACATCACCAAATTGGTGGCACCATTAAGGATAATAAATAATAAATCGTAACTTCTCTCTCCTGAGACCTCCCTTACCGAATTTGGGGCCCGAGCTCCTTCGCAAGGACAATAAATAAAGAGCAATACTCAGAAAACAGGGGAATTCTAGACAGGAAACAATCAGGACCAGCTAACAGCTCCCAACAAAGGATTCCCCCAGGCAGGAAGCAGCCAGGCTTTGTAGCTGCTTGGCTATTCAGTTCTAATTAAGGTGGCCAATGGCAGCATTTATACTTGCCCCCAGCATACAAGAGTTCTTTCTCCCACCCTGGACATTCCACAGATCTACAAACCCCACTTGCCTAGTTTCCAACAGGCCTCACAACCTCTGAGGATGCCTGCCATAGATGTGGATGAAGCGTCAGGAGAGAATGCTTCTGGAACATGGCCATACAGCCTGGAATTCTCACAGCAACCCAGTGATTCTGGCCATGAAAGCCTTCAATGTAACAACATAGTTTTTAAAAAGAAATTCAGGGAGCTTGAGAAGGTGTTGAGATTTAGTTAGCAATTTGAATAATTTACAACAAGTTCTACTGAGAACAAAACCGACTAGTTAGCTGGCCTGCTTTATTCTTGATGTTAAAAGGCCAGGAGGTACCTTAATTCTGTAAAATTTAACCTCTGAAGCACAGGAAACCTGGAGAATATACTTAATTTAATAAACTATTGCCATATTTGCTCTTTCTTTTAAAAAACCCAACTTAACTTAAACAACAATTAAGATTTTTTTTAAAAAAAAGGTGTATTCCTATCCCAGCAAACAAATGTATACATTTGCCCAGAAATTTTGAGAAGGGCCATCAATCTGTATGAAACAGCGGTAAAGCAATGATCCAACCTTTAAAAAGAAGCAGATTTGAAGAATATAATAAAAATAGGGTTTTTAAATACCAGTTACTCTAGCACAGGGGTCCTCAAACATTTTAAACAGAGGGCCAGGTCATAGTCCCTCAAACTGTAGGAGGGCCGGATTATAGTTTGAAAAATAAAATAAAATAAAATAAATGAATTCTTATGCACACTGCACATGTCTTATTTGTAGTGCAAAAAACACTTAAAACAATACAATAATTGAAATGAAGAACAATTTTAACAAATATAAACTTATTAGTATTTCAATGGGAAGTGTGGGCCTACTTTTGGCTGAAGAGATAGGATTGCTGTTGTGGTGTGCTTTCAAGTCGTTTCAGACTTAGGTTGACCCTGAGCGAGGGCCGGGTAAATGACCTAGGAGGACCCCTGCTCTAGTATAATGTGCCATTGATTGCAATGCACACATCTGTTTTGAAAGTGCGCTTTGCAAAAAAAAAATATTATTAAATGTAATGCATGATTTCCCCTTGGCTTTTGGACTTCTGCTCCACCCATATACCATTTCCGTCTGTTTCCAATGGACTTTCCTGGAAATCACTTTTTTTTTGCTCTGGAAACTACATGAGGCTTAAAGTTCCACTATGGCATCCTGTTGATGAGAACTAACAGAGGCTTCCCCCTTCTCTTTTTTCCTGCCTCTCTTTATCAACTGGGGGCATACTATAAACTATTCTGATGTTTCGCATGTGCTGATCAGTCAGTGTCCTTGGGATCTTCCAAACCAAATGGAACCTGCTAGCTCTGAGTGACAGACCAGGAAGGGCTGCCATTTAGAGGACCATCACAAACCAAGAAAGTCACAAGCATGCTCCTGTGCATATTTGTCCTATTTGCTTTGGAAGAATAGAAGAAGGAAGGACTTAATTGATAGTAATGTGTGTAACAGCAGAAATCCATTCTGCTCCCTTATAGTTAGAACAGACCCAAACCTTGTGAGCAGTTTAAATATTGGAGACAAGAAGAAGTTAACTGTGGGCCATGGTGAGAAAGTGAGTTAGGTGGAAAAAAAGAATTAACACATGGGGGTGCAGAAATATGATAATGTATTGTTGAAGGCTTTCATGGCCAGAATCACTGGGTTGTTGTAGGTGTTTGGGTCTGTATGGCCATGTTCTAGAAGCATTCTCTCCTGATGTTTCGCCTGCATCTGTGGCAGGGCATCCTCAGAGGTTGTGACCTCTGCAGGTGAATGCAGGTGAAATGTCAGGAGAGAATGCTTCTAGAACAGTGTTTCTCAACCTTCCGAATGCCGCGACCCCTTAATACAGTGCCTCATGTTGTGGTGACCCCCAATCATAAAATTATTTTTGTTGCTACTTAATAACTGTAATTTTGCTACTGTTATACATCATAATGTAAATATCTGATATACAGGATGGGTTTTCATTCACTGGACCAAATATGGCACAAAGACCCAATATGCCCAAATTTGAATATTGGTAGTGTTGGGGGGATTGATTTTGTCATTTGGGAGTTGTAGTTGCTGGGATTTATTTTTCACCTACACTCAAAGAGCATTCTGAACTCCACCAACGATGAAATCGAACCAATCCTGCCACATAGAACTCTCACGACCTAGAGAAAATACTGGAAAGGTTTGGTAGGCATTGACCTTGAGTTCTGAAGTTGTAGTTCACCTATCTCCAGGGAGCACTATGTACTCAAACAATGAGGAATCAGGGCCAAAGTTGGCATGAATACTCAATATACCCAAGTGTGAACACTGGTGGGGTTTGGGGAAAATAGATCGTGACAGTTGGGAGTTGTAGTTCACCTACAATCAAAAAGCATTCTGAACCCCACCAACAATAGAATTGGGCCAAACTTCCCACACAAAACCCTCATGGCCAACAGAAATAGACTACTACAACACACTCTACGTGGGGCTGCCTTTGAAGACTGTTCGGAAATTACAACTAGTCCAACGGGCGGCAGCCAGATTGGTAACTGGAGTGACATAAAGGGAGCATATCACCCCCTTGTTGTGCCAGCTCCACTGGCTGCTGGTCCACTTCCGAGCTCAATTCAAAGTGCTGTTTTTGAACTATAAAGCCCTATATGCTTCTGGCCCAGCTTACTTGTCTGAAGGCATCTCCCTCTACATCCTGCCTCACAGTTTAAGGTCATCCAGGGAGTTTAAGGTCACAGTTTAAGGTCATCTCAACACCCTTCGGGGGTTGAGAAGGAATGGGATAGAAATACCAGAAATAAATAAATAAAATATGTGCACAACAGTAGCAGAACATTGTAGTATTAAGGAGGTATGTGGTTGTGATGTGAAACTACCAAGAATCATGGGCAATGAGAACCATCTGGGTACATTTGGGGGGAAATCAAGGCATGTGTGCCCACCACTGTTTGAAGCATTTCCTTGTTGTGTTCAGGGTATGTCTGGATCAAAGGCTTGTCATCTTGCCTCACCATGGTAGTGGGAATCACTCTGTGGCTTCCATCCTTGTGGATTCTGATTGCTGCCATCTTGCAGTTATAGTTGTCATCAGATGGATCATCTGGTGCTTAGATCAATGCACAGTGCCATTCTATAGCTCAGACATTTATAAGCAATGAGGTTATATTCCATTTGAGTCCCATTTTTTTTCTTTTCTGTGTCTGTTAATAGACATTCTTTTCTCCAACTGTTCTTCTCATCACTAGTCAGACTAAATGGGAGCCGCTTAGCTGTCCTGCTGGATCATTCCTCTTTGACATTATTCCTGTGTGACTTCTAATCAGAACTGTCAGAAATAACTGGCTCTCCCCTGCAGTATTAGTATAGTTTCAAGAAACCAGGAGAGGTTTGGAAGGTTGACATAGCAAACTGCTAGCAAAACAAATTCCAAGCTCAGGTAGGTAGCTAAATCAACAAACCTTTCTGCCCACTGGGTCCAAGCACAGTTCTCCTCTTGTGCTGCTCATTACCTCTTCCACTATTGACATTCATTGGCTGGTGTGAATGAATAACTCCATTGTGGTAGTTGAGTTGTAACCTTAAAGGCATTACAGTTTTAGTGGAACCTAAGTATAGCATGAAAAACTTGCTTTCTTGGATTTGCTCATGTTATTAATAGAACAGATGTGGTAGGTGCGTGCCACATCGGGGTGGGGATCCTCTTTTTGATAGTGGGATGATTCATAAGATGTATTTCTAGTAGGCTGCATCTACCCACCCTCCCAAAGGGTGACTTCTTGTTACTTGATTTTTGTAACTGTCTGTAATGACTTACTATTCCTGGGGAAATGAAATAAATTAAATTTTCTTACTAATTCTGGGCTGAAGGAATTACCCATCACATATTTACTTTTTGACATGTGAGTTAAAGCCATTTTAATACATACAAGTAAAACCAGAACACACAAAAGGCCACAAGCACATATAACTCTTCTTGTGTGCAAGTGGATGCAATTCTCTTTTGTGTAAATAGAATGATCTATATGCATTCCAAGCTGTGTATGTGTAAATCATCTTTGAAATATATGTTTTCAGAGTTTAAAAAGTTACTTTTTTGGACTATAGCTCTTAGAATCCTCCAGCCAGTATACCCACTCATGATTCTTGCTTGTGAGTTGTGGGATATGTTGTTTAGAAATGTAATATCTGTCCCTAAGTAGCCCGACCGTACACTTGTATTATAGCAGATTTGTACTTCAATCTTGATACCTTTGCCAGGGCAGTAAGGATGGTGTATAGTTTTGAAAGATGTAAATTGTACACAGAAAATATTCTATGTGTACATACGATATGTTGAAAGAGAAATATACCAATTTTACAGTCTGGAAAGAAAAAAAATCAAGTGGGTGTTTCATTTTATTTTAGAGCATGTTGTTAAGAAGGTGGAGTATATTAATAAATATCTATTTGTTTGTTTGTTTCAGATCTACAGAATGAGTTACCCAGGGTATCCCCCTGCAGGTGGATATCCACCAGCCAGTGGGTATCCCCCTGCTGCTCCAGGTAAATTTATTATATTCATTTAGGTTGTTGGGTCTGATTATGTAAAATGGGAGCTCCGTTGATGCCACTGCCTCTAGGTGGGGATTCCCTTGGTAAGGAGAATGGCAGCCGGGATTGGCTAGAGTGAGGGACCAATCAGTTGCAAAGATGCTCCCTGGGAGGGCACAGTCTGGGGAAAACGAATGGTACAAATATGTAGATGAACTAATAGGAGAGTCCAAATCTGCTGAATATAGGAACAGAAGACTAAATATTCATTTTTTCCTCGTTCAAGTAAAAGGATCTTGTGTAACAACACAAGGAGGGAGATGGCTGTCAGACACGTTAACAGAATTATGTTAGACAAATTAATGGATTGACAGAGCAGAAAGAAAATGCACTTCAACTTCTAATATATTCCACCATTTTCTTTGTTTTGATTCTAGCTTTGGCAACTTGTTAGCATAGGTCACTTTTGTAGTTTTTTAAGTGGTCAGTGTAGACCAGATCAGCCTCATTGTTGCCAAATGCCTGCAAGGGGATGAGCTGGGTTAATGTGGGACAAGACCATGTCTTGCCCATGTTATCCAAATATGGGGAAACCAGTAATTCTGGCCCAGAACTGGCCACAACTGTCCCCAAGGCCATTCCGTGTTTCTCAGGCTTAAATTGCCCAGAGACACTGGATGACAATCCTTGTCCCGCTCTCAGCCCTCCATGTCACAGTGGTCTCTGGAAGTGACAGGTCCTAACTAAGTGGTCAGTCTAGATCAGTGGTTCTCAACCTGAGGTCCCCAGATGTTTTTGGCCTACAACTCCCAGAAATCCCAACCAGTTTACCAGCTGTTAGGATTTCTGGGAATTGAAGGCCAAAAACATCTGGGGACCCCAGATTGAGAACCACTGGTCTAGATCAATGGTTCACAACCTTTGGTCCTCTAGGTATTTTGGACTTTAGCTTCCAGAAGTCTCAACCAGTTTACCAGCTGTTAGTAATTGTGGGAGCTGAAGTCCAAAAAACCTGGAGGACCAATGGTTGGGAACCACAGGTCTACATGCTGTTTTATGTTTTTTTTGTTTATTTATTTATTGAACATACACCCTTGCCATTCTCCTAGGATAACTTAAAAAAATTATGCAGTGAGTACTGCTGTTATTTGTGTGCATTGTGAATGGGGTTGCCTGGCATGGGGAGGTTATACTTTGTAGGGTTGTTTTACCTTGGGATTTGTGGCATGTGAGCTCAGGAGCTGTTGGTTTGTGTGTTTAGATATATGACTGTGCTGTTTTTTCTTTTAACAACATCATTTTCTTGGGATTTCTGGTTCAGATTTATTGGAATGTTAATTTATTACTGTGTTTATACTTTTTCTTCTTCTATGTAATTTTGATTATGTTGCTTGTTGTTTATGTTTTGGTTTTATTTTGCTATAACATGTTGTCCTGGGCTTGGCCCCATGTAAGCTGCTCCGAGTTCCCATTAGGGAGATTTTTTTTTGTCGTGTCAGGAGCGACTTGAGAAACTGCAAGTCGCTTCTGGTGTGAGAGAATTGGCCGTCTGCAAGGACGTTGCCCAGGGGATGCCTGGATGATTTGATGCAGTTTTTTTGTCATCCTTGTGGGAGGCTTCTCTCATGTCCCCGCATGAGGAGCTGGAGCTGATAGAGGAAGCTCATCCACCTCTCCCCGGATTTGAACCTGCGACGTGTCGGTCTTCAGTCCTGCCGGCACAGGGGTTTAACCCACTGCACCACCGTGGGTTGGTGGCGGGGTATAAATAAAGATGATGATGATGATGATTATTATTATTATTATTATTATTATTATTTACCTGAAGAAGTAACTTTCCCTTTAGGATAAGGGTAGACCCTACAGAAGTGATTTTGTCATGTGCCCGTGATCATCTTAAGTTTTGAAATCCCAAATGTGGGATCCCTTTGTCCAAATCAATCCTGATTTTGTTGACTTTGACTTTGGAATTGTAATCTCTGTTATGGTTTCCCGCCTTAGCAATTGTACTGAAATAAAACCTACAAGTATTAAAATTAATTGTGTGTGTTATCCAAAGAACCATGAGGATTTCTTTTTGGTTTTCTTTTCCTGTTATTAATCTCCACTGCCTTTCATTGTGTAAAGCAAACGAAAGAAATAGACAGTTTCTTTTCTTGTGTGCCTTGTGCCCACTTGGTCAGGCAGATGGAATTCTGTTTGATGCCTTTTCATTGGCTACCAATGAATGTTTTGCTTAGATGCCTTACTCCAGGAGGGTCTTTTGGAGTCTCTCCTGAGGATGGAAGTGGAGCAGTTGAGGATGGAGAACTGAACAAGACTAAAGACCAAAAGCTCTTGGAATAACAGGATTTTAGCCTTTAAAATTAAAACCAGAGCTTGGGATATATAAAGGTAAAGGTAGTCCCCTGACATTAAGTCCAGTCATGTCTGACTCTGGGGTGTGGTGCTCATCTCCATTTCTAAGCCGAAGAGCCAGCGTTGTCCGTAGACACCTCCAAGGTCATGTGGCCGGCATGACTGCATGGAGCGCCGTTACCTTCCCGCCGGAGCGGTACCTATTGATCTACTCACATTTGCATGTTTTCGAACTGCTAGGTTGGCAGAATATATATATATCTGTAGCTCCTAGAATCTCCCATCCATCACAATGCATCAGCAGAAACTCACGCATGTAACAAATAAGCACCTAACAATTTGGTTTATAATTACTGTATTGCTTTTGTTGTAATTCCAGGTAGCAATCCCTGGGGCTCTCCGAGCTATCCTCCAGCAAATCCCGCACCAATTGGACTAGAAAATGTTGCAAACTATGCTAATCAGTTTAATCCTGACTATATGGCACAAATGGTAAGTAATTGCTGTTTTAACTGAATACATCTTACCATTTCCACTGAAGTTCATTAGAGCATTCTTCTCTCTGTATTTTTCCTTGGTTAATGTGTTATGAATGTATTTAGATTGGGGTGTGGTGAAATGCATCTTGTAGGCAATATGTGGCCTCAAGGCTGTTTTTGCACCTCCCAAGTGATCCCATAAAATTTGCCCCCAAACTGTGAGTTTTAACTACAGATGGTCTGCGATTTAAACTGTGTATGTATGTTATTTTACTTTATGTGTTGATAGTGGTTGTTTTTATAACTTTTATGTGATATTGTTTTTATACTCATGTACCGCCTATGTTATATACAGCACTTGTAGTGCCTTGTAAGCCACCCCAAGTTCCTTTTGGGAGATGGTGGCTGGATATAAATAATGATGATGATGATGATGATGATGATGATGATGATGATGATGATGATTTGCTATAATTCTGTCATCCGGGGTGCTTTAGTCTTGGCCTGCAGCTGGAGAAAGAGTTTCTAAAAACCCTAAATGGAAGAAAGTTTAGTGGCTGCATCAATCTCAGGCCTGTGGAAGCAGATAGCATCTGCCATTCGGCTCTAGATTCTGCTTTTCAGAGGATAGCCCCAAAGAGGCTTACATAATTACCAGGACTGCGGCTCAGCTGGCTGGGAGTCAGCTGCATTAAGATCACTACTGACCGAAAGGTCATGAGTTCTAAGCCAGCCCGGGTCAGAGTGAGGTTCCGATCAATTTTGTGTAGCTTGCTGTCAACCTTTGCAGCCTGAAAGACAGTTGCATCTGTCAAGTAGGAAATTTAGGTACCACTTATTTGGGGAGGGAATTTAACTAATTTACAAGACCATAAAAATCTCCAGCAAGCATTCAAAGAATGAGGAAGTACTTCATTGGTGTCACAAATGCACAGTGAAGCGACAGCTCCCCTGGTGGCCAGAATACCCTCATGAAAAGCTGGAATGTTAAATAGCTTCTGAGTGTCTATATATGTTGTATGTCTATGGCATTGAATGTTGGCCATGTATAGTACATTGTAATCCGCCCTGAGTCCCCTGCAGGGTGAGAAGGGCAGAATATAAATACTGTAAACAAACAAACAAACAAATGATCATATGTATAAAAAACCCTTCCTCCAATTTGTTGTTTATTCATTTATTCACTTCTGACTCTTCATGACCTCGTGGATCAGTCCACAACAGAGCTCCCTGTCGGCCATCGCCATTCCTTCATGTTAGTCTTAAAGATTTATTTGGGCATGCTGGACTATTGTAATATTACTGCTTCTTTGGAAATGAATCAGGAAAGGGTCTCTGTTGGAGGACCAGGAGTAGTGATAAGATCTCTTCATTGTCAAGTTCAAGGATCTGTCTTGTCTGTTTATTGTTGCAGGCTTCCAACATATCAGGAACATTTGGGGGTGCCAACATGCCACAACCAGGTCTCTACCCTCCAGCGCCTGGGGGCTACCCCCCTGTACCCCCTGGAGGATTTGGGCAGCCGCCACAAGGACAGCAATCCTCTTATGGAATGTACCCACAAGTTCCAGGAGGAAATCCACCATCAGGAATGCCAGCTTATCCATCATATCCGAACACCCCCATGCCGCCAGCAGGACAGCAGCCCCAGCCTATGTCGTATCCTGGTCAGCAGCCCATGCCAAATTATCCTCCTGGCCCAGCTGTTAATCCTTCTATGCCATCGTATCCAGGACCTACAATGCCCACAGTGACTCCTGCAGCCGTAAGAAAATGCTTGCTAACATTTTGTACCTCTGACAGTTAAAAGATAAACATTGAGGCAAAATCTAAATGTAGATAAAGAATTCTGCTTTCAGAGGGCAATCAGTGAGTTTAAGAGGGTATATAACATTTGCCAGACAATACTCCCTGAGCTGCACTCATACAACTCTTTTCTTCAGATAGAGATCCTAGACACATATTTGCCAAATTGCATGGGAGGAAAAAGATTAATGTAGGTGAGTTGCAAAGAAAAATGGAGAGACAGAAGGTTTAAGAAGATTTCCTCCCTTATTTGATACTTGTTATAGGTTGATTATCCCTTATACTAAATGCCTAGGACCAGAAGTAGTTGGGATTTTATGGATTTTTTTTCAGATTTTGGAATTTGCATATGGTACATGATGATGTGTCTTTGAGAGAGACCAGAGTCTAATCATGAAATTTATTTATGTATCATATGCACATTATACAGAAGTTACTTGTATACAATACCCGCCACGCGTTGCTGTGGCCAACCTTCTCTCCCGCTTTCTCTCCTTCTTTCTTTCTCCCCTCCCTCTTTCCTTTGTTCCTTCCCTGTTTTCCTATCCTTCTCTCCTTTCCTTCTCTACCTCTTTCCTTCTTCCTCCCCTTTTTTCTTTCCCTTCTCTTTCTCTCCTTTCTTCCTTCTCTACCTCTTTCTTTCCTTTCTTCCTTCACTCTTTGCTTCCATCCTTCCTTCTCTCTTTCCTTCTTTCTTTCTTTCCCTGCCTCTTTCCTTCCTTCCCTTTTTTTCTTTCCTTCTCTACCTCTTGCCTGGCGGGAAGGGAGCCTTGCAGCTCTTGGCCTTGCTGGGCACCAGGCAAACAGGAGGCACTTTTCAAGGTGGACCTCGCTCACCCAGCGCTGGCCCCTTATTTCTGCCATGGCTGTGGGGTGCCTTCCTGCTTGTTTGACAGGTGGGCACACAAGCGGGGTCGCATGAAATGTGCCCTGTGGCCACAGCAGAAAGAAGGGGCCGGTACTGGGCAAGCAAGGACCACCTCAAAAAGCATACCCTGCCTGCACCGGTTAAGGGGTCCCTGTTTGGTGAGGCCGACAAAGAGAGGACAGAGACTGGGAGAGGGGTAAGGAGGGCCCATGCGAGACCCTGGTGTGACGGAGGAAGGTATGCCCAAATAGAAAGGAAGGAAGGGGCTCCATGGGGGTGGTGGGTGGGAGAGAGGGGGGTAGACCCCAAATTGGGGGCCTGAGGAAGCCAAGGGTCTGCCTGCCCAGCCCACTGGAGCCTTCAACGCTCCCTGCAGCTGTTTGTTTTTCCCCCTCACACAGGAGGAAGAGGGCAGGGCCAGGGGAGGTATTTTTGTGCATATGCTGTACCTTGTTTTACCATTTTTTGGTTTTAAAGTCCCTTTCGCTGGTTTTTTTGTGTGTTATTTTTGAGTGATGGTCTCTCATTGGGTTGTTAAGTATATTCTGTCCAAATTTGGTGTCAATTTGTCCAGTGATTTTTGAGTTATGTTAATCTCACAAACAAACATTACATTTTCAAGAAACAAAGTTTGTGTACATTGAATTATCAGGAAGATCTAATTTATGGATAATGTGTTAAGTCAATTGTTATATGTTGTATGGAACCACTGCTGTTTCTACTGTTTTTACTGTTTGTGAACCGCTGTGAGTCGCCTTCGGGCTTGAGATACAGCGGTATATAAGCAAAGTAAATAAATAAATAATAATAAATAAGATCTCAGCCACTTATGTGGACATCTTTGGATTTTGGATTGCTTTGGATTTTGAAATTTCCAATAAAGGATCCTCAATCTGAAATAGCAAGCAGAGTCAGTCTTCAGATGTTTTGCATGTTTTTTTGTTGGTGGATGAGGTTGTCAGTCCCTTCTATTGTTGATCATTTAGTTCTGTGAAATATTCATTGCCTTGAAGAGAACTCAATTGAAGACTCATTCTCTTAATATAATCCTAAACACAGCAGAACTCTCTTCTCCCTCAGTGACCAAACCCCTTTTATGCTAAGTTTATCAGACCTAAGTGAGGAAATGTGATATGCAAGAGCAAGGTTCTTGAAATCTGGAACTTGACTTCTTTTGGTTCTCATACATTTTGCAAATGTGACTGTGAAGAAAAGCTTAGTTATATCAAATTTGTCAAGTTTAGTTGATATCTCTTGTTTTCTTTGGGACAATGTAGACTGGATATAGAGGCACCATCCGTGATGCTTCATCGTTTGATCCCCTGAGGGATGCCGAGGTATTGAGGAAGGCCATGAAAGGATTTGGTGAGTACCGCGGTTCTTACATTCAGTCTAAGATGCTTACCTCACAGAATTGCTTCATTGGAGCATTACAAAATGCTGCATGTTGCACCTCTATCTGCAGATATCATGAAAGAAAATCTAAGAACAGAAATATATGCAGTTTCTATCCTTGGATCACAGTCTTAAGTTCTGCCTGAAGAATATTAAATGACTTGGTCAGAACGAATTACATAAGGTTGTCTTTCTTTATTACAATGTTTAGCTGCCCCATCCTTCATATTTCCAGGGCTTGAATCAGGAGTGGCAATTTTGTTTTGTCAAGGTAGTAAAAATGCAAACCTTGTCTGCATTTTTATTTTTAATATTTATTTGTAAACACGTTTTATCATTCTTTTATATTTCCCCTCTCTCTTTAACTAGTCTACCTGTCCGAACGGATTCTCCCCTATGAACCATCAAGATTATTAAGATCTTCCGGAGGGGCCCTGCTCTCGGTCCCACCTCCTTCGCAATTGCATCTGGTGGGAACGAGAGACAGGGCCTTCTCGGTGGTGGCTCCATGGCTTTGGAACTCCCTCCCACTAGAGATTAGATCTGCTCCCTCCCTCCTGACTTTCAGGAAACTAATAAAGACCTGGCTGTGGCATGTGGCTTTTAAGGACTGATCTCATAACCTCCGTCCACATGGAAGGAGGAGGATGAACTGTGACTATGACTGTGACTGTATGACAATTTGGCTTGGGTAATGAGATGATGTTTTTACTGTACGTTTTTAATCTGTAATGTTGATGTACTTTGTTTTTGTATATTATTGTAATTTGCATATATGCTGTAAACCGGCCTGAGTCCCTCGTAGAGGTGAGAAGACCGGTATAGAAAACTTCTAAATAAATAAATAATAAATAAAAATAAACTACATAGTTTTGAAGTATAGCTTCCATAGGAAGCTGATCACAGAATCGCACCAGAGAATGTATTGATTACTAGAAAGGAATCTCTTGGTCCTCCAGGGTGACTCTATGGCCGGCTCCTGGAAGACGTTTTAATCAAACCTGCTAATAGTCAAATCCATAAAAGTCAGCCCAGCAAATGTGGAGGGCCAACTGTATAATAAAGATTGGCTTTTGATAATTGATTATGATGATATGTAATGAATGTATAGCTAGTGGTTACTGCACTGAAAGTCATGCAGTACAATAGTGATTCAAAGTAGCAGAAGTGGTATGATGAATGTTGGCCATATCATGTTATACTTCATAGTGGTATTTTTTTCCATGTCAGGAGCGACTTGAGAAACTGCAAGTTGCTTCTGGTGTGAGAGAATTGGCTGTCTGCAAGAATGTTGCCCAGGGGACGCCCAGATGTTTTTTGATCTTTTACCATCCTTGTGGGAGGCTTCTCTCATGCCCCCTTGACAGAGGGAGCTCATCCACACTCTCCTTGGATTCGAACCTGCGAACTGTCAGTCTTCAGTCCTGCTGGCACAAGGGTTTAACCCATTGTGCCATTGGGGGTAATAATAATAATAATAATAATAATAATAATAATAATAATAATAGAATTAATAGTGGTATTAAACAAATGTAACTGCCATGATGGGATGTCCAGGTTCTTGTTTAATTTTTAGTATTAATACTCCGCTCTTCATCCACAAGGCTCTTAGAGAGGCTTACAAAACATTAATTTGCCCCCAGGACAGTGGGAAGGGCTCTCAATGGCTTCTGGGCTGAGTCACAATGGCTGGAAGGGACATTTAGAATCCTCTCCCAGAGAGCTCTTAGGCCACACTGAACTCCAAAACCCAGCATTCCGCGTGATGTAGCCGTATCAGTTAAAGTCTAAAAATTGTGCCAATGTGATAGGGCCTGACTTTACTCCTTGTTTGTTTCAGTAAGAAACTTTGGGTTAGATTCTGCCAGTTAAAACAGGAAATGCTTTGACAGTAGAAGTGCAGGGTTTGAGCAGTGTGTCCTCAGTAAGCACTGTAAAAAACAAAGGTTTTGCTGGGAATTAGTGGGATTCTACTCTAAGATGATGCCACTGTGGCTGCGTATTTCTGCCTACAACAAGCAAAGTAAACAGCAGCTGCCTCCAGAAATTTTCACTGAAGATGTGTGTGCTGGAAAACAGGGATGAAAGGGGGTAGCAGATTAGTAGTAATGATAATAATAATAATAATAATAATATAATAATAATAATACATTTTTATCCCACTTTTCTCCCATGGGTGAGATTCAAAGTGACGTATAATGATTAAAAGTGGAAAAAAATTACATGACATTTAAAAATTCAACAAAAAATCATATAGCCAATTAAACAGATCACACATTACATAAAACATATATAACAAATCAATAAATAAAGACACTACATTGTTAATTGCAGCAATAATATGTTCCATGCTTATGTCTATGTTTGATGTTTTTATAGTTTTAATGGTTTTTATCTGCAGTTATATGTTAATTGATTTAGATATGTGATATTTTTATATATATGTGAGGCATTGAATTTGCCATTTATTATGTTGTAAACCACTTTGAGTCCCCCCAGGGGTGAGAAAAGTGGTATAGAAATGCAGTTAATAAATAAATAATAATACATTATACAATTAAAAATTCCCTGACCCTCAGGCCATTTAGGTTATCCATTAAAACAGTTATGCTAGAATCCTAAAAACTCAATTTCCTTTAAGCCATGTTAAAGCATTGCCAGGTCCAAAATAGCATTCAAAAATGCCCCTAACCTGCCATACTGTCACACCTTGTTTGGCCACCAAAATGAAAATCACAAGTACTGCCTGATAAAAGAAAATGACATTGCCAGAATCCTTTACATGGTCTGTAGAACATTCATCATGTTTTCTTTACCTGATCCACAAATTTCATTTTGTGCGTTTATGTTTGTTGTGAAAGAAATCATTGCTGAAATATGTTGAATTACTTTGGTTTGATTTGTGGTGAAGGGGCTTATCCCTATTTGTTTCATGTGACATTTACCTCTGATACCAATTTTCCTGTTAAAGAAATAAATACCTAATTAACTGAGATATACCTAATTAACTGGGGAGGCCCTGCTCTCGGTCCCACCGGCGTCACAAACGCGTCTGGTGGGGACGAGGGACAGGGCCTTCTCAGTGGTGGCTCTCCGCTTGTGGAATTCGCTCCCCAGTGAGATATAGATCGGCATCCTCCTCACTTTTAGAGAAAAACTAAAGTTGTGGTTTTGGAGCCAGGCTTTTGGCTAGTGGACATAGCAGCATTTAGAACTGAACCGGACCACAGGATTATGACAATTGGAAACGGATATGTGATTCTGATTAGGCAACTATGTTAGTATATGAGTATGAAATTTTATTTAATGTTATTGTTAATTTTCTATGTATTTGATTTTATGTTGTTGTATTGATATTATGACATTGAATTGTTACCCGTGTAAGCCGCCCTGAGTCCCCCCTCAGGGGTGAGAAGGGTGGGGTAGAAGCGATGTAAATAATAAATAATAATAATGTAATCACCCTAGAACTTTTGGGGAATTTTGTGGAGTGCAAGACAACATTTTCTACCTGTTATATTCCCCTCCTACTACTTCCCTCTTTTTTCTGTTAAAGGTTGAGAGGCAAAGTACATTGCACAATGCGTTTTGATAGATAGTGCAAAGAGACATCCAACTGGAAGCAATCTGCCTTATTTGCGTAATTGTGTTCTCTGTTTACAGGAACTGATGAGCAGGCAATCATCGAGTGTCTTGGAAGTCGTTCAAATAAGCAGCGGCAGCAAATAATGCTTTCATTCAAAACAGCTTATGGAAAGGCAAGTCTCTTTCCCTATCCTGATAAAATATGATGCAATGCTGTAAATTGTCTGTTTTGAAATACAGTAAAAGAGTAATGCTGTAAATTATCCGGCATGAAATACAGCAGTGATTTAGCTTCAGCAGGGCACACAGTGATGACGAGGCCTTGCACCAGGAAATTTGCAATCTGAAAGTCCTTTCAGGAAGAACCATAGAGGAATGGGGAGGAAGTAGGGAGTTGGTATAATCCAGGAAAGACTGCCAAGGCTCTAGTAACAAGCAGAGGTATAGCAAGGGGTGGGAAAAGGGGACTCAGTCAAGGAACAGGTGACATTGAAGGAAGGGAACTGGACTCGATTGGCAGAAGTGTTGGAGTTCAGCCTGTGATTGTGTTTCAGGATCAGGGTGGTTTGGATGTGGGGAATGATGTTAATGAGGTTCAAGATGAGTTTCAAGATGGCAATGGTTTGCTCAATGATATTGATGCAGAGAATGACCAGGAGATCCCTTTAGTTTCCCATGAGAATGTCCCTGAGTGGTGTGAGAATGATGGAGTGCTTTCTGAATTGTTACCAGAGAGTTCTCATGAAAGAGAACATGAAAATAGCTCGATGGCTGGCCCAGCTACAAAAGTTAACGAGCAAGTAGATAACGAAGCCAGGGATAGGCGAGATTAGTCAAAACAGGAGAACCGAGCAATGGCTTCGGTTCTCTGCCAGGCTTTGACAGAAAACAATAACAAAGCCTAAATTAAAGAGAAACCAATTTCTGACCGCTAATGACCTAGCTAATGAGGGGATAAAAGTCTCAACTTTGGGATGTGTAGTCAGATGAAGCATCGTTTATCATGCCAAATTCTTGTCCTTGTTCATGGAAGCCTGGCTGTAAAGATTCATGCTAAAGTATTTCTTGTTTCATGGTTTTGATTCTTGGATATCATGTTTGCTTACCCAAGCCTTGGATCAATGTATTCCTGATTCTTTGGATTGTATTAGAGTTGTGCGGACTTTGCTTTTATGGACTTTGCTGAACTCTTACCTAATTGGATTTACCCATTTCTTTAAAGTGCTTTTTGCTTTACTGTTTTGTTGGTTTTTTTTTTACTTATCTTCAATAATAGATTGTTTTTTTTTCCTATTCAACTTGTGCTGTTTAAAGTTAGAAGATTATTTCTGTCCTGGAGTGCAACAAGAAGGAAGGGAACTGGAATCTTATAGGAATTGGGGAGCCAGTGTAGCGACTTGGGCATTGGACTATGGACCTTATCAATTGATGAGGGGTAGCAGGCAGATTAGCCAGGTGGATTAGCCACATGAATCCACAGGCAGTGGGGCAATCTTGCACACAGCATTGCCAATAGCTATGATTTGCTATCACACGTGGGGAAGCATCACCTCATGGCTTCCCCCCACTGGCCCCATTTCTTCCTTTGGAAAATGGGAAGCCTCCCGTGTTCTGGGTGGAATGTCCTAATATGCTTGCATCTACGGAGCTTGATCTACGGAGCTTCAGAAGTGAGTGTGCATAATGTGATGGGCAGCGTGGGGTTCCGTAGATGAACTGTACTGCAAGCATCCTAGGACACTTGTGAAGACTCATGTGTTGAAGTGGTAAGACTCTGGAATCCAGGGTTTGAAACTCCACTTGGCCATGGAAATGGACTGAGTGACCAAGATAAGTCAAACTCTCTCAGACGCAGAGGAAGGCAAGGCAAAGGCAAAGATTCTCTGAACAAATCTTGACAAGAAAACTATGATAGATTCACCTTAGGATCGCCATAATTTGAGAGTATCTTGAAAGCACGCACCAATAAGTTATGGAAAAGAGAGAAAGGGCAGTTTTAGTTCTTTCATTTGTTTTTTTTTTAATGGAAAGGAGCTTGTTACCAAAGTAATTGATTAAATTCAGTCGGTCGGATTTACTTGAAGATACGTCTGTATAGAACTACAATCTCAGACCATTCATACCTCTTTAACAGGAAAATTTGTCATAAAGCTGTGTGAATTCTTGGCTCATTTTTCAGAACAATGCACCTATTGAAACTAATTTTGCAACTTCAATATATTTCTACTTATATCTAAAATAGGACTTGATCAAGGACCTGAAGTCTGAGCTGTCAGGCAACTTTGAGAGGGCCATCTTGGCAATGATGAAAACACCTGTCCAGTTTGACGTTTATGAAATTAAAGACGCTATCAAGGTTTGTATGATTTCAAATTAGACTGCGACTGTGGCAAAGTTTTGCATACCCAAATTCTTACTCCCTCATTTTCCTCTCTTCAAATCTGCCCTATAAATTCATCTTTTGCAGGAAGCTCTTGCCTTTTGTATCGGATCCTCATCCTCTGAAGGGCATGCTATCAAATGTGTTTGCCCACTTTTCATATCTTTGCATCTTGCCTAACATGGTACTATCCAGGAGTGGTGGACTACTGTTTCCTTTTACTCCCAGGCAACATGGAGCTGGGGTTTTCTAATGGCCATTTCCCCAGAAAAAAAAACTATATTAGGCATAAAGTAGTGGGGCTGAAAACAGTTCCCTGGGTTACGTTCAGCCTGGAGGCCACACTTTTCCTACCCCTCTTCTAGGTTCAGAAAGTGGGAGCTCATTTCCTGTTTTTCTTGTGATCTGTCCTTGCCTCATTGTTCCATTCCTGTTGTTCTCTGGAGACCAACTTGGCTTATGCAATCTACCTAATTTGTTTACTGTGAATTAGAAATCATACATAGGTCACTTGTTTACATAAGCAGGATGGTTAACAGAGGAAGAAACCTGCCAGTGCAGCTCAACTAATATTTATTTAATATTTATTTCGAATATATGTACCCCACTCTCCTCAACCCCCTGGTAGATACAGCAGTTCACAAGCTTGCAAAAATTTTGGAAGCTTGCTGGACTTCCAAATGCAGTTCTTCTGGGGTGTTCCTTTCATGGTGATAAGAACTCTGGCTTTTACCTAGTGAAAGGTATAATAATGTAACAGTCTATGTTCTAGATGCCTGATAAATTACTCAATCAATGAAATATGTGTCTTAGAAAATCCAGTAGTTCTAGTGAAGCAATTGCACTTTGTGTACCCCTGTGCTGTAACGGGTTTTATTTCAGAAAAAGAGGCAGGTTCTTTTTTCTCTTGCAGAAAGAGATAGGGCAATGGGTGGCACAGTGGTTTAAACCCTTGTGCTGGCAGGACTCCTGACCAAAAGGTTGGCGGTTTGAGTCCAGGAGTGGGGTGAGCTCCTGTCTGTCAGCTTCAGCTTCTCATGCAGTACACAAGATAAGCCTCCCACAGGATGGTAACATATCTGGGCATCCCCTGGGCAGTGTCCTTGGAGACGCCGAATTCTCTCACACCAGAAATAAGGTGCAGTTTCTCAAGTCGCTCCTGACACACACACAAAATCTAGGGCAGTGTCTGCAATTTGCAGTTTTCGAAGTACTTGCTTTGCAAATACAGGGTGAGGCAGCATAACTTCCTTTTTTCAAAACTTAATAAAACCCATTGTATGAATCAGAAAAAAATATATATAATGTGGGCACATACCTAAAGTTTTGTTTTATGTAGTTTTGAAGATCAAATTAGGTAGGTGACGTCCCCCATTCTCCATACACAGAGTAAACCGATTTCTGGCATTTGTCATGACTCTTGCCAGCATAGTAGGCGTTATGTTGACAATTTCTTCCTGGATGTTGGTCTTCAGATCTTGTAGGGTCCTTGGATGGTTCACATAAACACGGGATTTCAAAAAACCCCATAGAAAAAAAATCACAAGGGGCCAAATCTGGAAAGCGGGCCGGCCACTCCAAATCCGCTCGAAAAGTAGGCCTCAACGGCAAAAGCACGCTCCTCACTGTTCCAACGTATGATGGCAACTGAACTGTGCCAGGACAAAACTTTATACTCCCACCTCTCGAAGAAGACCATTAGCACTCCGCTATGTCTTCAACCGACTGAATGGCGCACATTTTAAAAAAGGAAGTTATGCTGCTTCACCCTGTACTATCTAAAATCTACCGAGCAGTTAATGAGGAGCAGTCTTTTAATGATTTTTTTAAAAAAGAAATATTGACTCAATTAAATATTGCATCCCTATAAATACTGCTTTGAGCCAAGATGACAGGCAGGATTGCTCCTCAGATTTGCCTGGAGAAATTAGCCAGATCAAAGTCTTTTTTCAGGTCCAGTGAACAGTGATTGTGGATTTCCATATCAGCTAGATGATGCTATTGTCGATTTTAGTGCAAACTTCAAAGGAGCTGTCCAGTGTCCTGAACCATTCCCAAAACAACTTTCGTCTCTTGGAAAACTCATTTAAAGATTAGTTTAAATCACAAAAGGGCCCACAGGTGAGTCTGGCCCTGCTTTCACTCCATGTCAAGTCTTACAATGACAATAAAGTCAGTTCAAGTGCTCTCTTAGCCTTAAAAAAGGTGAAATGATTTTATGCCGTGAAATAATTTTATACAGTTGTAAAGTGAGAGGATTTTTCCCTCCTTAGGGTGCTGGCACAGATGAAGCTTGCCTGATAGAGATCCTGGCATCTCGCAGCAACGAGCACATTCATGAAATCAGTAGGCTGTACAAATCAGGTAAGTTTGCCTATATTGTTTAAATTCTTAATGAAGCAACCATTGTTCAGAAACTGAACCATAGTAAGCAAGCACATTGGGATCAAATTGGTTTTTGCTTGCCAGTGTTGCATGTTTGATTGACTGATCAGATGTTTTGCTTCAGAATAATGTTTGGTAGTGTGTTGGTTGGAGATGTTGGCTGTCTCTTGCAGTTTTTCTGGATTATAGCCAGAGGCAGTGTTCATGTAAGTTTGCATTTTGAAAGTAGACTGAAGAAAGAAAAAGATTTTGGCAATAATACTGTTGTTAATTGGTTTTGTATCACATTGCCCAAAGCTGTAATTTAGTTCAATAGTTCCCTTAGTTTAAGCTCTATCCTTTTGATCATGCTTGTATGAAAACAAAAGTACTCTGGCTTCGTTACCCCGCTCCCAAAAAGGCCTTATACTGAGTTTCCCAGGTAAATCCCACTTAACTCATTGATACTTCAGAATTTGCATGGTAGGGCTGTTCAGGCGGGGTGCTTTCTGGGCATTATAAATAACTTTTCCAATCTTGAATTTATTGCAGATATTTCTCTTTTTCAAAATATTGTATCATTGTTAGTTTTTGCACGCCATGAATAAATGCTTCTTTTCGGAAGATTGGATGGTGAATCACACACACACAATGCACACACATACATATACACACATAACATGCATGCAAGCACACATACAGTCCACTCATAAAAGCAGGCATGGTTGTATCCATGATGCATAAAAATATGTGTTGTCTTCATTTGTTCATGGTCATCATGTGCAAAGTGAGTCTCCTCTGCCTGACTTTTACAGAACATAAGAAAACTCTAGAAGAAGCCATTAGAAGTGACACATCTGGGCATTTCCAGAGGCTTTTAATTTCACTGGCTCAGGTATGTATAGGATTGTTAAAATTGGTTATTGTTACCTTGTTTTTGTTTTTATCACAAGCTTATATACATCTGGCATTGCTCGGATTTGCTTTTTTGTGTGGCTGTTTATTCACTCCCTTTACTGCATACATATAGAGCAGTGGTTCCCAACCTGTGATCCATGGACCACCAGTGGTCCCCAGGAACAAACATATGGTCCACAGACTAACCATTACTACACCGTTGCCTCGAAACCATGCAGCAACTAGAGCGACTGGTCTTGTGAAACCCTCTTATAGTGCCAAGGCAACAGGAATGTTGGGAGGGGAGAGGCGGACTATCCACAAAAGATTACTATTACCACATCAGCTCTAGATTTTTAAATATGGTTTTCTGTGGATGAACAGATGGCAGCTACTGAGTAGCAAATGTTCTTTTATCAGAAACTAGAGCTGATATGGTCTGTCCAATGCAATTTTCTGAATCAGCATCTCAAATAACCAAACCAAATCTGAAGTTGACCAAAAACTGATTTGTAACCCTTTGGGTACTAGTGTTGGAGAGTGGTTCCTGGTCAAAGTGGTTCCTGGTCAAAAACAGGTTGGGAACCACTGATATAGAGACACCAATATACTAGAATTCCCCCCCCCCCCCTTCCCCAATTTTTCATTTGGGGGAATATTTCATGTTTTAATATACGATGAAAAATATTCCACATCACTGAAGAGAGTATTCCTTATCATTTCCAGTATCTCACATTGCATATCCTAGCAGTAGTAACCATGCAGGATACTTAGTATTATGCAAATGATTGTCGAAAGAGCCACATTGTACTTATTTCTAGGAAAATTAAAATGTTCCACTTCTCTCATAACATCAGAGTTCAAAAGATACTTTTTATATAATCAGCAAAATGCTCTTTTCCTGGAAGCTGCCAAAATCTATTACCTCCATCATCCAAGATGTTTTACAGCCAGAATCTCATTTATTGCATTGGTGAGAATGTGGATGCTTCTTCTGGGGATTGAGAAGAGGAGAGAGAAGAGGTCTTACCTGGGCCTGATTCTGATGTTTTCTGTTTTTAGCATACATATATCATTTGTTTTCATTCTTGGAGAGTAGAAGAATTGGTTTAACCCCCCACATTCAGCTGGAATGACAGGACCCAAGATTCTTTTCCAGTTGAACTGTTAAGCATCTTCTCCCTTCCCCAACAGTTTTTTTTCTTTCCTGCCTGACTGGTCATGTTTGTTCTTCAGTGACAAACTTATAAGGCAAGGATGTTAGTAAGGACAAATTACAAGGGGAAAATAAGGACAGAAAGGCAATGGTTCAAAAGAAGAGAAGAACATTACATAAGCAGTTATATCTCTCTTGGTAATCTGCAAGTGCCATAGTTAAAACAGCAGCCCTACAACAATGGCTCCAAAGTGGAGAAGAATATTGCAGAAGCAGAAATGTGTATCTTTTCTGGAAGCTTCAAGTACCAGTTTGAAAACAGCAGCTCTAAGGCAATGGCTCTAAAGTGGAGACAATCATAGAAGGAGGAGGAGGAGGAGGAGGAGTGTTTATTTATTATTTATTTAGAAGTTTTATATACCGGCCTTCTCACCTCGAACGAGGGACTCAGGTCGGTTTACAGCATATATGCAAATACAATAATATACAAAAACAACAGAGTGCAACATCATTACAGATTAAAATAGTACAGTAAAAACAACATCATCACAGTCATAGTCACAGTTCATCATCCTCCTTCCTTGTGGACGGAGGTTATAGATTCAGTCCTCAAAAGCCATGTTCCAGAGCCAGGTCTTTATTAGTTTCCTGAAAGTCAGGAGGGAGGGAGCAGATCTAATCTCTAGTGGGAGGGAGTTCCAAAGCCGTGGAGCCACCACTGAGAAGGCCCTGTCCCTCATCCCCACCAAACGTGATTGTGAGGGTGGTGGGACCGAGAGCAGCCCCCCCCCCCGGAAGATCTTAATAACGTTGATGGTTCATAGGGGAGAATCCGTTCGGACAGGTAAACTGGGCCGTACTACTACTACTACTACTTTATTTTTCTACCCCTCCTCCATCTCCCATAGGGACTTTGGCCGGCTTACATGGGGCCAAACCCAGCAACATACAATTAAAAGCAGAATAACAAATTAAAATAGCATAAAACAGCATTAACAATAATAAGCAAGCAACAAAAGCAGCAACAGACTCATTTGGGGGGGGAGGGCACTATGCAAAACCGATTAAAGGATAGGATAGTCAGAAGGTGGATAGAAACGTATAATACTATAGGAAATAGCATGGAACCAGAACAATAAACAGGATCAATTCGATTAAACTTAAATGTAATAATGAAATACAGGAATTCAGGTCATGATTCAGGTCAGCTGTCACAGGAGTGGTCAATCAAATGCACAACGAAACATCCATGTCTTTAATTCCTTACGGAATGTGGATAGGGAGGGAGAAAGAATGTTCTCTTATGCTAAACTGAGATCTCCATTTTGAAACCACTCAGGAGTGAGGAGAAATCCTACTTGGGCGTGATTCCAATGTGTCCTGTTTTCAGCATGCATCTCTCATTACTCTATAGTTTTGATTTTCCTTCCTGGTTTTGAAAATGGATGTGGACATTGAGAGAGAATTCAGAGCTGAAATACAGAATACAATAGTATGTTCATTTTCACACAATAATTCATTCCATCATCTCCGCATTCAAGTTAATGGTATTGGGAAGCTTCGCTCCAGAACGTCCCCTCTCAAGTAGCCGAGCTAAACCAGCCCCTTGGTTTACCGAGGAACTGGCAGCGTTGAAGCGAAAGAAGAGGGAACTAGAGAGCGTGTGGCGTTCGGATCCGAGCGAGCCAAATCGAACACGGTTTGTGTCCTTTCTAAGGGCATATGCCGCGGCAATAAAAGCCGCAAAGAAGACTTTCTTTGCGGCCACTATTGCGTCTGCAAAGAACCGTCCGGCTGAACTGTTCCGAGTTGTCAGAGGCCTATTAAAACCCACCACTCAGGATGGGTGCCCTGATGACTCGGCAGCTCGCTGTGAAGCCTTTGCTCAGTTCTTTGCAGACAAAGTCGCTTTGATCCGCTCTGGACTGGACACCATATTAACGGCAGTCTCTGAGGATGTAACACGAGCATCTGCTTGTCCAATTTTGATGGATTCATTTCAATTGGTTCAATCCGAGGATGTGGACAAGGTGCTTGGAGGAATGAGAGCTAACACATGCATCCTAGACCCCTG